AGATCTCAATGTTAAAAAGGACTTTTGTTTTATTATTGTTGAGAGGTCTTGATGTTGATAGAGATTTTTGTTTTATTATTGTTGAGAGGAAGTCTCGATATTCAAGATGATTCTTGTTTCATTTTGATATTACGTATGGAGTTAGGAATCATTAGTCTTGCTGAAAGGAAGATTCTAAAGTTAATGATTTTTATTTTAGTTTGGTTTAGATTAGAGAATCTATGCATACACATATTTGCATGGAAATGTATAGGTTTATATTTATTATAACTATACTATGAATTTTAATATTGTTATTTATCGTCGTCGTTAATGTCAGTATTTATTTGATTTTTAAGTACAAATTCAAGTCGATCCGTGAACGATGATTATTTTCTGACAGTTACCAAGAATTATTGCATCATTTCGTCGGAAGTACTGGAAGCGAATACCGCGTCTCGCGGAGTCACACGAGCACCTATATCCCGTATCATTGATTGTTCCCCGCGTTCGAACATTCTAATTGTATTGCACGCATTGTAGTCTGTCCACGCATTCCTGCAATTCCCGAACAGTTATCTCTGCACGCTGCATTAGAGGAGGCCAGATCGGCTCGCCGATATCGGTAACTTCCTCGGTCACTTGAAAATTGCTTGCTGCTCGCGTTAACCCTTTCCCTAATAATCGAACGTTTTTAATCTCGAACCGTATCTTCGAGTTAATCTACTTCTAATTATTCGATTTTCCCTCTTTCCCTTTATTTCTTAGGAAAAAGACATTCTTAGTCTCTTTTAACAGTCAAACGACTGGTCTTTAGCACAACTTATATTTTTTAATATAGAATGAAGATAATAAACAATAAAAAAAGGTGTGAATATTGAAGAATGTTTTATACACATATTTTAGGAAAAGTGAAGTATAAAGGCGATTCAATTACGTTTTCTATGGAAATTCTGATCGAAATTTTAAAAACAGTCATTTGACGCGTAGGAATAGTGTTAAATTGAGATTACGAATTCTACCTATGCAACTGTACAGTATTTATCAAAATTACCGTTTTATATAAAAACATCATTCCTAATCCATTTTAAACAATAATTTCATATTCTACGTATTGCACAACACTACTGCACTACGTTATTTCTCAGTGAGAAGTAACACCTTTAACCCTTTGAACTCTGTAAGCCCCAATATTGCAGCAGTTCTAATATTAAATAACTTCAATTATTTATTTTATCTTTAATCAGCAGTTCCAAAAGTTCCCAAAAAATCTCAATACTTCCAACATTCGACATTCACACACTTCTAATACATCAATAAACAACACTCCACTGTCAACACATAAATACTGAAATAAATACTGATCATTAGATCTTCCAAATATACAAAGTTTGTACTGAGAAGGGAATTAAAGGTCCAAGAAGTGTTCTAACATTGTTAATTTTCAGTGGGACTACTATCAAAATTGGTAGAAGTTGTTGACATATCACAAAACTATGTGGAGTGCTAAGGGTTAACATTAAATATCAGCCTTTAACATCGTTCTTAATTTACTTCAAATTAAAATCTCGATCTCTACCTACTGCACAACATCTCTACAGCAAATTATCCAGTTTCTATAAAACTAACTCGCCGACCACCACATTTCAAACATCATCCACATAACAAAAAGCCCAACTTCACCGCACCAATTCGAATCGAACAATAAATTCCCCCAACGATCTCGAAACTTTCCCAGCAAAAATTGTTCCCCGAACAATCCCGCGTTGCCGTTGAAATTCGAGCGCGAGTTCCCCGCCGAATTCTAGAAACTCCGTGAAACCGACCAGGTAATAAACGCCGACGCTGAACTCGATCAACTGTCCCTCCAGTTTCCGTCCGCGGTTCCTTCTGCGATCGTTGGATCGATACCGATCGAGAGACGTCGCTCGACGCGTTATACGGTGGACGATTCTTGGACAAAATGGCACAGAAACGGAAAAAGTTTGATCTATTATAGTTTAGCGATTGTTTATAATGGAAAAAATCGAAGTTTCACGAATTACTCAAAGCTGTAATATGTTACAGATCATTTAAGAGATTGAAAATATAGGTTATAGTGATGGAATTATTTAAATAACAGGTGCAACTTGCGATATAGACCATAACGCGCGAATTGTTGAGTAACTATTTTTGAATCTATTGAAATCTGAATGGACAATTGCAAAATTCTGTTGTATTTGGTATATTTCAATGCTCACTACTAGAATTGTCAAACCTAAATGCAGCTGTAATAGTAATATGAAGGTCATAATTAACGTAGGTCATAATACTTCCATTTGGATCGAGTGTTCACTTAATTCTGGAATTTTTCTAGAAAAATCTGAACTCTAACTTTCGTTACTTTCTCACAGATACATTCACTAATTACGAATTACTCGAACTACATAATAAATTCCATTACAAGTCAGAATAATTTTACTAGTCACACGTCAAAGAGAGTCATCTTCAAAGATCGTGCCTAGGTTTAAACGCTGTCGACCCTATTCGAAAAAGAACAAAAACAAAATGAACCCTGTTGCCAGTATTCGCATTTCCCCCGAGGATCGGCGAAAGTAAAAAGCCAGTTTCCGAGTAATATTGATTTTTGTCCCACTTTTTAGATTAATCGACCACCGTGCGTCGCGCCCGCCGGTACGCGCGGTGCGCGTTCCACCACGATGAAAGAAGAAAGTAGGGCTTAATCAGTTAGTCGATAGGCAAATTGGCTTAGAGGCAGCGACCGACAGGGCGGTTTACAGAACCAGCAAGCCCCGGCAGTGGCCAGTGGCCGAGCGGCGAATCAACCCTTCGCCGATAAGAGGCGAGAGTCGCGCGTCCCCGATCCTTCCAGGGGTTTCCCCGAGCTGCCAGCCGTGTCCGCCGACCGAAAATCAGCAGTGCCCGCACCGGAAGTGATCGGTGTGCCCGCAATCGTGCGTCGATCCCTCGGACAACAAGCGGCACGCGCGCTTTGCGCCGTTCACGGGCGAATTTCCAGCGGCACGCGCCGTCTGCGTCGCGATCCAGCGAATCGCCAGCGATACTCGCGCCTCTGGCTCGGGTGTTCCGATCGATCGTTCACGGCCGGCCGGTTCCAACGGGGAGAAGTCGAATCATCGGCGGCTCGCACGGTTCGCTGCCGGATGAACCGATGATCGGCAGGCGATCGAACCCGATCGCCGACCGTCGAACCGACCGAACACTTTGATGGATATTCGAGGGACCGTCCGGCGGACGTGGCTCGCTGGCTGATAAGCCGGCTGTGCGATCGTGATAAGGAGCTCGCCTGGAGACAGACGAACAGGGAGGGGGCTGGTGGGTTGGACAAAGCGGATCGGCACGGTAGAATGTGCAGCTGATCGGTGAGTCGACGGTGTCCATGGAAAATCGAACGAACTCGTCAACTTTCAATCGTCTAGTAGAATCCATATATTCATATTTCAATTCCATAACGAGAGAACCATTCCGAGTTTCATTCTAAATTCTCCAGCAGAATTTACATAGATTCCCTTACGTCCAGTTCCTCGATTCCAATGAGTCTATCGTCATTGTAGAGTTCAGAGTATATCTTAGCCGCTTCTAATCAGATCTAACCCCGCTTTCGTTCGATACATTCAATTCTCGAGTGGACGAGTAATACCCCGAGGATAAAACGAGAGTAATTTCATCGGCGAGTTTCAAAATGGCTTCCAAGCGGGCCGCGCGCGCGGTATTAGTTTCGAACGGGGCCGGCTAAGTTTTCGATGAAAACGATCGTGACCTATATACGGGTCAAGGGACGACGGTCGCGTTAATTTCCATTCCCCTCCGTAGCTCGGCGGACGTGCTCGACTAACCGAATTCGTCGAGGGTTCTCGGTGAATCACGGGAATTACGTGTCCCGGCGATCCGCAGCCCTTATCGCGCACCGATCGGCCTATCACGGGCTTCGCGTCCCCTAACCGTTACGGCCGTCCGCCGCCGGTGCATCCAGTCCAATAAAAGCGCACGCTATTCCGAAAGGGAAACTCGGCGAGCGGCGGCCCCATCGACCGACCGTCGCGAACGCCTGCGGGGGAAACGATGTCGCGGCGCGAACGAAAAAATAATTGAACCCGCGAAGGAGCGGCGCGACCTGAATCCCGGAACACCAAAGATCGAGTCCCGCGAACTTTCTTCCCTTCGGTCGCCCTTTGAACCTTCCGTTGGGCCTTTAACACTAGGTTTACGGAGCGCATCAGTTTGACGCACATTGAATTTTGTAATCATTTGGTAAATGTTTCGGTCACTTTTGGTTGATTACACGAATGTATATCCTAATTATAATTTTCAAAATCTAAATAGGCGGATGTCAACTGTTATAGGAACAATAGAATAAAATATACAACAAATGCTCGTAACCAAGTGTTATCTGATCGAGTCCCGTGAACCATCTTCCCTTCGGTCGCCCTTTGAACCTTCCGTTGGGTCTTTAACGCTAGGTTTACGGAGCGCGTCAATTTGACGCACATTGAATTTTGTAATCATCATTTGGTAAATGTTTCGGTTAGTTTTGGTTGATTACACGAATATATATCCTAATTGTCTATTTTTAAATTTATAATTTTCAAAATCTAAATAGGCAAATAGGTTTCTATAACAGTCAACTGTTATAGGAACAATAGAATAAAATGTACAATAAATGCCCGTAAACCTAGTGTTAACCAGTTAACTGTGGACTTTAGTTGGAAAAACCTCTCGTTCTGCGCGCGATAAAATAAAAAAATGGAGCGTGTACTGATCGAACGCTGAATGAATGCACGTAGAGTATTTCAATGAAAGATCAAAGCGAAACAAAGAAGAATTACATGTTTATGTGAAAACATAAGTTTTGTGTACAGCTTGTTATTCTCTTGTAGCAATGATGCAAACGAAGTTACTTATTATTTGTTATCGCAATGCTTAGGCTATACTGTTGTCTAGTATTGTACGCTATGGAATATTTTCGTTATTTTTTCGAGAAATTATAATTATTGTCGAGTCATTTGGAAACTCGACGTTGCAGTCGATGTGTTAATTAACCCTTTGGGTATGATAAAATATTACGTCAACACGTATTTCTAAGGAAATGTATTGACACCATGAAAACAGTGAATAGAGACTACATCGATATAAAATAATCATGTTTGTATAATATATGACTAGCAGAAGATGTAATGAATTATGATTTTCTCACGTCTGATCGAAGTGATTCGCAGTAATTATTGAGAATGACGTAGGTGCTAAGGGTATACCAAAAGCAAATTTTTAAAGCGCCTTTCGGTGTCACAGTAGCCAGAAGGTTAATATATAATATCATGCTTTTAGAGGCTAAATTATGCTTTGAGCTTGCTGGAAGATTCTTCTGCTTTGCAGGAGAATATTTGATTGCTTTCTTCATGGAGATTGGACGGGGATTAATTGTAGTAGACAATGCGTTAAGGTAGACAGATTAATTGATGATTAATGTGGATAGATTATTTGATATTCTATTCTCTAATGATCACGGTTTTCAATGGTAGCGTGAGATTTATCGCTTGAAATTTTGAACTTTCTAGTATTAGTTTATATATAGCGTAGATTAAGAAGAAAATCATTTAATTAATTTAGAAAAATTCTGGCCAGATGCCAACTGTCCTTAACACTAGAACTACCGAGCATTTAATACGATTAACATGAAACTCCTATAAAAATTGTAACAATAGATTATTCTCAGTTTCTTCAGACATTCATTATACTGAAATGAAACAATTTATTTTCAAAATCATTTCGAGTATTCAATGTTTCGGAGATATCAATAATAGCTAAACAAAAAAATCGAAACCAGTCATCTTGACTGGTACGGTAGTTCTATTGTTAAATCGAAGTCAAATAATAGAAAACCATAGAAGTTCGACTGTCCCAACTTCTAAATAAACTAGCATCTCCAAATTCGAGTCCATAGAATCCTCTAAAACCATCCAACATCCGGTCCGTGTAAAAGAACAGACGTATCAATCACCGTATTCACTGCAACCCTTGTCCGTCCATTTCCCATGAACATCAATATTGAAAATCACACTGCTGGAAACACTGTCGGAATGTTTCCAGAAGCAGCGGACGTGTAGTTAGTTAAACAAGTCGTCCGGCAAGTTGAAAAGGGCTGAAATCGATTCGCTGACGTTGCAGCGACGAACGTTCTGTTGCAGGAATGACGAGGCACTCTCTGGTGATCCTATGCTGCTACCTGTACACGCTCTTTGACATGGCGGCCCTACACTTTTCGTGAGTAGGCGAGCATGTTTCCGATGCTAAGCAGCCGCGACCGGACCGGAACACTCGAGATTAGCCTTGATCGACGGAGAGCTTCCCCCCACCCCCCCAAGCCATCGCGTACTAACTGACTTGAATCTCTGACGAGATTTCTCCTGTGCTTTCGATCTGTTCGGGGAGAGCTCTCCAGTCCTCGTTCCTTCTGTATCTCTTTACATCTCGATCGAGAGACATCGCGGCTGCCTTGCGAGAAGGACGAACCACGTCATGCGATCTACTTTCGGTCGACTGTGAACGAATGAGTCTTGTTCACTGTTTCGAGTCATCACGACGTCCTTTTTTATGGACGATCGTGTAACTGACATGCAGAGAAAGGGATGCTAATGACAAATTAATTAAAAGAGCTGAGAGTTTAATTAGAAACCGAAGACGACAGGAATTCATAGAGCTATGCAAATTTCAACAATCTTTCAACCGAATTTCATCCTCTAATTCAAATTAAAAATTTGTAGAGCTAATTGTAAAACGTAAATTTCAACAGTCTTTTATTTTAGAATTTCATCCTATAATTCAAATGAAAAATTCGTAGAGCTAATTTTAAAACGTAAATTTCAACAATCTTTCTTCTTAGAATTTCATCCTCTAATTCAAACAAAAAATTCGTAGAGCTAATTTTAAAACGTAAATTTCAACAATCTTTCTTCTTAGAATATCAAAGATTCTTTAATGATTCAACAAAGGTTTAGAAGTTTAAACGCTCTACCTCGGAACGTTTCTAAATTAAACATTCTGTCAATCAGAGATCCTCATTTCGAAAATATTCAAAACTCTGCCCTGCTATTTCCATTGATACCAGTCGAAGATAACGATCCTAAGTTGACTCGAATAAATAAGAAAGCTGCAACGACGGTCAGCTCCGTCCTCGCGGTTCGTTCTCGTTGCAAGATGGCGGCGATCGAAGCTGGCCCAGCATCACCCGCGACTGTGTCGAGTTTCAGCGAGGAAATATGCGAACCGGTACTCTCCACGGAGGTCGAAGCCTGGCACATTAAGGTCGATAGCCTATCGTCCAGTACGTTTCGACTTTCGGCGAGAAAGCGTGGGTACCGGTTTTTTCCGAAGATCGAAAGGTAACGCACCAGAAATCAACCCGACCAATCACACGCGTCGTTCGCCAACGGAGTATAAAATCTCATCGCGCGCCGGCGTCCTCGATCAACGATTCGCTAATTATTTACCTGCACAGACACCGTTCCACCGAAACGTCTCGTCGTTAAGCGACCCCTAAAAATTTAACTAGCTCGAATCAAGATCTCCGACGATTACGACCCTCGTTAGAAATCCTTCCACCGATTTTTACTCTAATCCGGCCTCCCCTTGCTGTGGTTCCGATTTTCGCGATCATTCGTTGAACTATCGGATCGACGACTACGAATACCATCGCGAAATCATTCGTCGGTCGTATTAAAAAATTCCACTGCACGGAGATAATGATTAATCGTATTAATGAATTCTGCTGCTCAGAAACTTCGGATGTCCCCCTTCGCAATATCTTTTCTGCGCTATGAAACCACGCTATGAAACTGTGTTGTAAAAAAGTTTATTATTAAACGACTTTGTAGTAAAAGGATCGCTGCAGGTTTTAGGTATATTAGAATCGTAAAGTTTCGTCGTTGCTGGACTACTGCGGAATCGTGTAAGTGTTTATTCTAAGGAACATTCGATTGCAGTTTATCTGAAGAAGCATGTTGTACCGATTGTAAAGATCTCTTTCCAAGTCATCTGTCTGTTAAGGAGCATATGAGAGGAGTTGAGAATGACTCGATATTATTACACAGATCAAAGTACCATTTAGAATCGACGGATTCCTCGAAGCGTGAAACGAAGGAAGCCCGGAGACTCGAACCCGATCCTTACGGCCGATCCCGGTGCTCCCGAGGAATCGTCGCGATCGACACCGAATGGCAAGGAATCGGAAGAGAATTCTTGAAAGTCTTGTTATGGATTATCGGCTTAGCAGGTTTCGCGGCGCTATAAGGCGCCACGACGCGTTTGACAGCGAGCCGCTTGAGTCGCGTGCTCGGATAAACAGATGTCGGCTAAGGGTACCGATTCCTATCGTAATTTATCGGCCGGGTAATCGAGATTGACGCGTGCCGCAGTGTTCTTGCCTCGAACTGTCCGTGCTTGTAAAATTCATACTTACGGTACTGTTACGGTATCGCGACTCCTGCTACACCTATATTAACAGAATACAATACTATTATTGAAACGATAATTTAAAGAACATAGACACAGCAATATTTGTCGATAGCTGAACGGACAGGAAAGTTTCATTGACAGGCTGAATGCCGCACGAAAAGATGCAATATTAAATCATTTGATTGAATTGCATTATTATTGCATGTTCCAACTGAATGTCACATTAGGCAGCATTATTTATAATATAGAAATCTTTTCAAATAATCATAGTTTAACCGAGTGAATTATAGTAATCCGATTCGATTGGAGGTCATCGGTGACCCCCACGGCCGAATTTTTTTTCGCGATTATAACAAAATCTATGTAGTACAATATTAATAAATATCCACATACGAATACGAGTTAACAATGTATTCAATAGTTTCAATAATTTCATTAAACGAATATATTTCGTAATTTTCAAGTTACAGTGACAAACTTTCACGCCTGAACGTATAAAAGTTGCAGTTAACCGATCATCACTTTCAGTGCAAAATGAAATAAATCAACAAGATGCCACATACTGATACATGACTTCAAAGTTACATGGGTCTATAGGTTAATGTATATTTTTTTCTGAAATCAGAATACACATTCGAAATTTCCAACGAGTAACTTGAAATTTCCAAGGGAGAATATTCTCGAATCTAAGATCGATCGTTGTCCAAGATCACCGGTTATATACGGTTAATGTATATTTTTCCTTCTGAAATCAGAATACACATTCGAAATTTCCAACAAGTAACTTGAAATTTCCAAGGGAGAATATTCTCGAATCTAAGATCGATCGTTATCCAAGATCACCGAGTAGTCGAAGATAGAGAGAGAGGAACTGATGAAGTTCCCGATTAACCGTCCGTGAAATTTGATTCGATCACGGCCGCGGCGTGTCTCAAAAATTGGAACCGTGGACGGGAAACGTTCGGGAAAAGTCGCTCGGTCGGGTTGACCGTAAATCATCGGCTCGGAAAATTGCTGCGGAATAAAGTGGGAAATTCTCGGCGGTGCGGCGGGGTCGCGGGTTAGCATATTAAAATGTCCGCGCATAAGGAACACGCGTATCTCGGCCGGACTTAAAGGTGTGCCGAGCACGAAGACCTATTATGGCTTCCGCGATATTGCTGTTTCATCGGAATCGCGCCAATATTTCAGAGTCGCTCGCGTCGCACCGTTCGTGGACTTCCTTGCGACCCGTCCTCCATTCCTCGATATCTTCCTCAGCTGGAAAAGAAAGGAACGGGCGATGGGCGAACGAAACGTGGACGGAAGAAGGAAGAGGAAAGAAAAAGAAATGAAGTGGAAGAGGAGAAAGGAGGAAGGAAACTCTTATTCCTCTTTCTTAACCCTTTGCACTCGGAAGTATTTCGCTGGAAATACTTAACGGTTTCTAACTATAAAGACGATGGTTTTTTAAATGAACTCGAAGAGAAATCACAAGTAAATTGAGAGATAAAGCTTTTTGATCCGAATATTTCATACACCGATGTATTGTAAACGGTTCAATATTAAATATCAAATTTTATAGTTTTACTGCGTCGAATCAAGTGACTGGAGTCTCTCGAGTGCGAAAGGTTAATAAAGGGAGGAAAGGAAAAAAAGGAAAGATGAGAGAAAAGAGACTGAGATAAGAAGGAAAAGAGGAAAATAGAAAGAAAGGGAAATGAAGTAAAGGACAAACGAGAGAAATGCTTACTTCTCTTTCCTAATAAAGAAAAAAAGGAAACAAAAGAAAAATAAGGAGAAAAAAGGATTGAGAGAAAGCAACGAGTGAAAGAGGAAAAATTAGAAAGAAAAAAATAGAATGAAGAAGCAGACGAGAAAAAGAGAAATAATAAAGAGAAACGAAAAAGCAGAAGAAAATGAAGCAACCGGCATTCGCGACAATGGCGGCATCACGCGCGATATCGAAACGAGATTCCCAAGTCCCACGGTTTGAGTAATGGAATTCATTTTCGGGATAGCGATTCGATCCGTACCCGTATAACTGTCGTTTGTTTTATTTACAAAGACGCCGAAGCTTAAACGGACTATAAAGCCTGATGGAATTGAATAAAACAGGGAAAAGTGGACGAGATCAGACGCCGCGTCTCGCTTACGCAAATACCATATTCTATACATAAACGAGTAGCTAATACGCGTCGTTTAAACAATACGGGGCAAAGTGGAAAGGACAGGTGCAGAAACGCAAGGAACTGGGGCGGTTATAAACGAAACGGAGGGCAGCATGCTGCGACGGCCCTCTCTTCAATCACCATATTTTGTAATTGCACCGGCGCGGCGGTTCGTTAGAAACTGACCTTTTAAACAGGAACAGGGGAATCGTGGAACGGAGACGATACGATTCTTGACGAGCTAAAGAAGTTCTATTAAAGTTCCATCTCATCCACCGTTTTGTTTCCATTCTCGCGAGACACTCCGGACGAGATAAGTTTCTTATATTACTCGAACACCGAGACAACCACTAGAACAGCAATGAGAAATGGAATTTCGCTTTCACTGAACCACGCTCTTTGTTATAGGCATTTTCTAGCTGGACTCATTTGAAACTGATTTTCAACGGTACTAATTATCTTGTGTTTCAAGCTACGAAGACTGGATTGTCACACTCGTTTATTGTTCTGAAGAATCGTGTGTATATAATTATTATATATATTATATTAATATATTATGTTAATACTTAGCCAACCGAATGAGATCCCCCACTTCTCACTTAGCAACGTATTTTACGTTTATCCTTATCTTCTCTTTTGTTATTTAGTATCTTGAAGTGGGATTATTTGCAATTCGTGAATACTTGTTTCTACAAAACACAATTTCAAATCGAATTAATTTAATTAGTTCAATTGAAGGTAATGCAGGAGGTTGTAGGCTAATTAATAAATAGTCATTGTGTATGTCTGGATACATGTATAAATTCGTGGCTATGATTCATGTAATATAAAAGTGTGACAGAAACAGAATAATAAGAAAGAAATAGATACGTACAAACATATAGATAGATAAATAAATTAATACATAAATCTTATCTCGACGACTACTTTACTCACAATAACTGGTAAATGCTCATTATTATTATTGCACACACGGTCTTATAGCCTCCGAAATCAATTGCACACGGTGTGCAGTCGGTCTCGAATGGGTTGAACGAAAATATCGGAAGCAGGCGAATTGGCTCGCGAGAGACGCGCGGTTCACGGGTTCCGTCGCCAGACTCGCTTCTCCTCGCGTCTGCTTTCTTTCAGGGAGTCGGACCTCGAGGAGTACGGCAGGAAGGAGGCGTCTCTGTCGCTGAGGGACATCCTCCCGTTGAACCCGAAGCAGTACGACAAACACAGGGCGCCGAAGTACTTGGGCCAGCCCACGATTGTCTACTTCCATGTCACGGTGCTCAGCCTCGACTCCATAAACGAGGAGTCTATGGTAAATAGCAGTCCAACATTCGTCAACCGCGAGAAATAATTAGGAAGCAAATATTAGTAACGTTACTGCGGACATTGTTGTTGATAAATACCATCATCGAATATTAGCAACTGGCGAGTCGCTTAGAATTCAACGTGATTCAGTCAGAAAAGGAAAATTCAGAGATGTTTCGGCTGAAGTGACTTGTATTCAAAAGCTATAGAAAGAGGGAATGTTTAGGAAACAAAGAAACGAGTGAATCCTTGAATAATTGGAAGAATATTAATTAGTGTATTAAAATTTCGAGAAATTAGGAAGTAGAAAATCGATTCGATTTTCGATCGAGCCTTAGAATTCACGAGTCTCTTAGAATTCAACGCGATTAAGTTAGAAAAGAAAAATTCAGAGATGTCTCGGCCTTTGAAGCGACTTCTATTCGAAAATTGTAGAAAGAAGGATTGTTTAGAAAACGAAGAAAATCCTTGAATAACTGAAGAATATTAATTATTCCATTAAAATTTCGAGAAGTCGGGAAGTAAATTTAACTTCATTGGCTTCTGAGCGATTTGCATATCAGTCATAAATGTCTCCCATAAATAATATATTAGTAAATCACACTACCAATATTGTCAATTCACAGTTTATAGTGACCTAATTACCGTATCACTCTTTATGGCAGCTATTAGACGTAGTCGATAAAACGCGATCGCTAAACGGTACAAGTCCCGCCGCTAATGTATTCATGTCTATGCATTGAAAATTCCCGAGAAGTGCATCGTTATAAATTAAAGAAGATTTGATGGCCCTCGTAGAGTCGGGTTCAGCGCGTTTACGGCGAAGCGCGACGCCCGTAAAGATTCCATAAAGTCGGAAGGCAATTTTGGCCGGAGGAATAGTTTACGGTTATCACTGTGGTTATTCCGTTATCTTTCGCGAGTGTCTCGGCGAGCGGATAAAGAAAAATGGAGACCCGGGGATCCGGTAATCCCGCTCGCGGAAGCGTTTTTAGCGAAGCTCTCGCAAAACCGGCCGGAAGCGCGGCAACGCGCATGCAAATTAGAGCGAGCGGCGGCGTTCGGCGAACGCTTTTTAGCCCGGCCCGCCGCTTGAGTCTCCGCAGCGGGGACTTTTTGCCGGCGCGGCAATTAAAACTAAATAACGCGTGAGCAAAAATGAGGCGGCCGGCGCGAATCGTCGACGTCCGGGGATGGAAATTAAGACGAAGCTGCCGGCTGCGAGCTGTGAAAACCGATGGCACGCTGGCCGAACGTTTCTGTCGCGGAGATCATTGCGGACCTCAATTAAAGCAGGTTTATCGCTTTACTTTACTGCCGCTGAGCAAATCGGAACGCATAATACTAAGCTGAATTGTTATTAAGCCGTTTGCCAGTTTCAAGTTTTTCGAACGACGGGATATTGGATGAAGTATTGGAGATTTAAGACGACGTTACCTGGTGATTAATAATTAGATGTATCTGGACGTGTGTGTCTGCGATCCTGCGATTAATGACTGGTTTTATCTAAACCTGTTTGTCTGGAGCTAGTGATTAATAACCTAATTTATCTACACACGGGTATTTACTAGGTGGTGATTAATAAGTTGATTCATCTAACTTTGTATTTAGAATTTAATGATTAATAACTAGATTGATTTGATCCTATGTGTTTACAATTTAATGATTAATAACTAGGTTGATCTAAACATATGTATTTATAACTGAACGATCGATAACTAGATTTATATAAACCTATCTACAACTTGAAGAATAATTACATTGATTGAATCTATGTATCTACTACTAACTTAACGATTAGTAACTAGATTTATCTAAACTTATATATCTACAACTTCACGATTACTATATACATTGATTTACAATATATTTACAACTTAACGATTAGTAATTAGATTTATCGAAACCTATATATCCACGATATAGTCATTATCAATTATAACTAGACTCCATATATCCAGAATTTAGCGATTACTAACTACATCGATCTAAATCCATATATTTACAACTTAACGATTAATAATTAGATTTATAGAAACCTATATATCCACAATATAATCATTATTAAATATAACTAGACTCCATATATCCAAAATTTAGTGATTATTAATTACATTGATGTAAATCCATATATTTACAACTTAACGATTAATAATTAGATTCATCGAAACCTATATATCCACGATATAGTCATTATCAATTATAACTAGACTCCATATATCCACAATTTAGCAATCAATTACTACACCGGCAGTAACACAGAAAATTTCATGGATATACTGAATGTCTGACTAAACACTGACACATTCCACTGTATTATTCCAGACGTACGTCGCGGATATATTCCTGGCTCAAAGCTGGCGGGACTCTAGGCTCCGGCTTCCGGAGAACATGTCCGAGGAGTACAGGATACTGGACGTGGACTGGCTGCACAATATTTGGAGGCCGGACTGCTTCTTCAAGAACGCGAAAAAGGTCACCTTCCACGAGATGTCGATACCGAACCATTACCTCTGGCTCTACCACGACAAGACCCTGCTTTACATGTCAAAGTAAGGATGCCCGCAGCGATTAATGAAAATGCAATTTCCTCTCGGCGGTCTCGCGAATGTGATCCCGCCCTAGAAAGGAGCCAGCACAATTTTTATGACGTTCAAAGCGGAGCCGGGTCACGTACGACCCGGCGTAGAATTTATTAACCTATACACGGCGGAATTAATATTCTATCCGCATCAATCCTCGGTAAATATTGGAAACTTTATTTTCCCGGGGTACTAGAATTTATAATTTACTGGATCCAATATGGCGAAAATCGGTTTATTGTATATTCTATATTAATCTTTAATGAACTGGAAGTAGTTCGAGTTCACTTATCACCAAAAGATACCGTAATATAGATAAACGGAAAGAAATTCACAAGAAACTTTGGAAAGTACTTAACTTGATTTAAGTAATTTACTTAATTTAAACTCAAGTGAATATTACGATAACAGTGATAAAAATAATAGAACAGTACAGTGATAAAAATAAAGAACAATTTTTCTTTGAGATGAAATATGTAAATCGTTTGTTCAAGTGGAAAGTATCATGGTTATATTTCATATACGATATAATAGAAATAATCTTTTCTCGATGCTAAGATATGTAAATCATTTGTTTGTTTAACTGGAAAGTAGCATGAGTTATTTATGATCCGACTCAGTCGACATTTCAGTCGTACTGAAAGGTGATTTCTAAACGATTTCTCAAAACAACCTTTCTGTTTCAGGCTGACTCTCGTTCTATCTTGCGCGATGAAGTTCGAGTCTTACCCGCACGACACGCAGATCTGCTCGATGATGATCGAGAGCTGTACGTATTCTGTATCCGATGATCCCCTGGAACACGCGAAATTACCTCGTTCGTGCCGGCTCCTGTCAAAATACACGGCGGTTACCATAAATTCCCGGCGAAATCCAGGCCACGCGAATTAATTAAAGTCAGATTTAATCGAGGTTCAGCCATCCGTCGAGCCGCGTTCCTATCCGTTTCTGGTTAACGCGGATCTGAACGGATACCGGCGCAACCTTTCGGAATTGTAAAGGTTTTCTGGAGCAAGACCGCCTCGTAAATATTTGAAGCACGTGCAGTATCGATTATGCCCCCGGAACCAGGTATTCTTCGTTAATGAAGATCGAAAGCATTATCCTGCAAAGGTTTAATGGAACGCGAATCACTCGCGCAGCTACGACAAACTTTATATCATGCAACAGTAAAAATTCTGCTTTTCTTCCCATTCGTTGCTAGAAGACACTTTATTTCAACGATAGATCCTTCAGTTCTTAGCCTACTCGCATATAACATAACCATAAAATATCACCAATACAATCGGTAGCAATAAAACAATAGTCCATTAACCCATTCACGAATATACTCGTAGCAAGAGATTGCCAGTTTGGTACAATCTTGGTTGTATTTGAAATGTATCGCAATATAAAGCAAAATAAATTGAAAGTACAAATCACACATTTTATGCTAGTGAATGGGTTACTAAGATTTGTCATTGTGATTAAAGAATAAGGAATATTGTATAGAATGCCTAAAATTCTCGTGGCAGCGAACGTGTTGATTAAGAAATCTAGTCCCATACTTCTAATGTACATTCTCTTCAGCGTTCCACAGAAAGAAGACAAATATACATTATACTGTAGTTCATCAATTAGCAAAATCAAGTATCTTTTATTAAACTAAAGATACTTAACACTAGAACTACCGTTTCGACTTTTTTGTTTAGCAATTATTGATATTTTCCAAGCATTGAATATTCGAAATGATTTTGAAAATAAATAGCTTCATTTGCGTACTATAATGAATGTCCGAAGAGACTGAAAATAATCTATTACAATTTTTATGGGAATCGCATATTAATCGTATTAAATGCTCGGTAGTTCTAGTGTTAAAGATATGAAAATAATATCTCATATCAAGCTACAAACAATCACAAAATATTAATATTTATGAAAGTTTGGAAAATACCATCTACAAACTTATGTTCATTAAAACGATCTCCGTCCTCTGAAACAATGGAACGTTATTGCATCATTGGAAGTAGTTCTAGTGTTAAACAATTTCCACCGTCCCCACTCATCTCACTTCAGATAGCAACCCCTAAGAATCTAATCCCGTAGAATCATTAAAACCTTCGAAAACGAAGGTTCAAATTCAAGAGCATCCCAAACGGCGTCGTCACGAATCACCCAGAGCATGTTGCCCTGTTGTGCCTTAATCCAAGCTTGCTCGCCGATGTAAGATAATCCTCAGGACCTGTGGATGGGATTTAGGCGATAAGGAGCCGGTGGTAGGCCGGGGATTAACGCGTGGCCAGTTTTCCGCGGCGGTGGTGACGCGTGAAATTGCCCTCGGTTTCAGTGTCGCACACGACCCAGGACCTGGTGTTCATCTGGAACATGACGGACCCGCTGGTGGTGAACCCGGAGATCGAGCTGCCGCAGCTCGACATCTCGAACAATTACACGACCGACTGCACGATCGAGTACTCCACCGGGAACTTCACGTGCATACAGATCGTGTTCAATCTGCGGCGTCGGCTCGGCTATCACCTGTTCCACACGTACATACCGTCCGCCCTGATCGTGGTCATGTCCTGGATCGCGTTCTGGATCAAGCCTGAGGCGATCCCAGCTCGAGTCACCCTGGGCGTCACGTCGCTGCTCACTTTAGGTAAATTCATCAGATTCAACGCGTTCGTCGGCGACACTCGTGCGTTTGTGTCATATTTTCACCTGGGGAATAGATGACAGATTAATATGGGGATGTGATGATTTCATGGAAAGACTCGGTAGCGATGATGTAAGCTCGAGTCACCCTGGGCGTCACGTCGCTGCTCACTTTAGGTAAATTCATCAGATTCAACGCGTTCATCGCACTCGTGCGTTCGTCATATTTTCATCTGGGGAACAGATAGGAGATTGATATGGGGATGTGATGATTTCTTGGGAAGACTCGGTAGTGATGATGTGCGATAGGGTTTGAAATTGTTTGGATTTGTTGCGTATCTTTACACGAAATAGGTAACGGTTATAGGAATCAACCTGGAAAGCAAAGTTCTGGAGACAAAGTTGATACTAACAGTTCTAGAACTAAAATTTCTTATAGTAGAATTAGCTCTAGAAGCAAACAGGTATGCAAAAGGACTCGTAGATGTACAGCCTCAAGTAATGAAACTAGTTCTAGAATTGGATCGATTATCTCCAGGTATTCCAAGCTAGATTTATCATTTGAAATAAAATTATTTTACTTATCAAGTAAAACTAGCTCTGGAATTAGGTCTATCACCTGCAAGTTCTCTACCTTTCACCACACTTCTAGATTTATCATTTCAAAGCTGATTCCAAACGCCATCCTCACAAATGGTCTCTCTCAAACAACAATCCCAAGAGAAATTCCTAGACTACATTAAAGAATCCACTGAAGAGTCCTCGACCATCGATCTCCGTTTCCCGAAAGACACCGAAGGAGCCTCGGGCAGGCCTGCGAAGTACGCTTCGCGTATTTAGATAGCCTAATTTAGGTGATTAAATCACGGCCGGCTGGTCCATCACCTGTTCCACGCGTCTATACGTGCGCACACGTACCGTGGACCGTCGGGTCGAGGGTGGTCATGTCCTGGATCGCGATCTGGATCAAACCCGTGGCGATCCAGCCCCGGGTCACCCTCTAGGCATGACGTCATCGCTGACCCTCGGTAAGGTCGACGTGCCAGCGGCTGCATTCTGGACAGGCGGTCGTTTAGGAGGCGGTGCCAGCTGTTTTCCGAATGGTCGAGAGGGAAAGGGGGTGGGGCGACGGGACGCGTGCTCGTTTTTCAGCCAGGACTCGAGATAACGAGGTGTCCTTTGACCTGGTCTCGAGGAAATCATCCCTGCCCCTTGCCCCGTCGCCTTTTCGCGCCTCGTCGCGACGTCACAAGTGTCTGCGCGCGCTATTCGCGCGACGTAGATCACGGCAAGAGGAAACGGGGTGGATCTCTGCGAGTCCTGGATCGAGGAACGCTGAGACCAAGAGGTTTTCACTTTTCAGAAGAGCCGCGGATCAGTTCCGAGCCGGTCTGAATGGATTAACCCCTTAACTTGTACGCTCGAGTTAATTCGAGCGCGCTGAACAGGCCAAACTGTGAAAATAACAATGTGAAAGCAAAGAGAAAAAGTCGTTTTATTGATATTTATCGTTTACATGGGACTGTAAGCTGTAACACTCATTTATTCAAGAATGAAATATAGCCTTTTTCCATGGAACAAAAGCGCAGTATATCAAAATTGATTCTTTTGGCCGGTTTTTTTAAAAAAACCTGTTCGTTAAGGGGTTAAGAGGCAGCTGGAGGGGTCCAGAATTTTCCCCGGAAGCGGAGAGCTGGTGACGAGCTGTCTCGGAAATGCTCCGCGGTTAACCCTCTATGGGCCGAATTTTGTTTCGTGATTATAACAAAATTTATGCAGTATGAAATGAATAAATATCAACATATGAACAGAAATTAACATTGTATTCAATAGTTTCAACAGTTTTATTGAAACGAATTTATTTTGTAACTTTGAAATTACAATGACGTTGAACGTAAACGCCTGTGTACAAAAGTTTAAGTTGGTTAATTATTTAATGTCGTTTGTCGTTTTGCAATAAAAAATTAAATACGTCACTTTAACTCGGTATATTGGTGTGTGACTTCAAAGTCACACGAGCCTATAGAGGGTTAACGTCTCGCTCCTTTGGGTTGTCTTCGAGTGAACTTGGGTTTATTGGAATGCTAGCTTTTCTCTTGATTTAGGATCTTGTTAGGTGAAAGTTAGTGAGATAGGTGATAGTGGTGAGGAAGTATTGCTAGGTTGTGTTATAATTATAGGAGATTTTGTAGTATTTATTTTTGTATAGTTTACACGTTCAGTATCATGGTAACTTAACAATACAGTTGGTTCGCCTGAATATTATGTCAATATTAATATTGGAAATGGAATGTTAGGGCAATATTTAATATTCATGTTCCAATTAACACGCTGAATGCCATGGTGGTCACCAATAACCCAACCAAATCGAATTACTGTAGTTCATTCAATTGAAAGACGATTATTCGACGTTCCTATATTGTAAACAATGCTAACGCGGTGCCATTCAGCTATACCATTGTGCAATAACAATAATGCAATTCAATCAAACGATTCAATATTATATTTCTTCTATCTTGTGCGTTCTGCTCTATGAAATCGTGTCCAACGTGTTAACCCTCTGAACTCTGTAGTCTCCAATATTGCACCAGTTACAATATTAAATATTTGAATAAATCTTAAAGAAACTACCCTAAAATTATTCGACTTTCCACGCATCCAAATTTTGTACCAAGAAGGAAAATAAAAGATGGAAGAAATGTTATAGCATTTCTCATTTTCGCTAATACTGTAAAAATTAGTTGCGGTTGCTGATAGATTACAAAACAACCTGGAGTTCAACGTGTTAAACATTTATTAAAAGATTCCACTCCTCTACTTAAAGTTATCACTGCGACGAACCAGATTCGCCACACTTTCCTCAAAATGAAGCGCAAATCTCCGAAACTACTTCCCCGAGGCACACGCAGTTTTTCCGTGGCAAATTCGAATTTATTGGGAATTAGAGCGATCGCCGAATGGACGCACGAAACAGCAATTCGGTTGTGACGCAACGGGGAGCAGAGTAGACACACGGGAGGGAAGGTCCGGCGAAGCGTGCGACGCCGATTCAATATTAGCACAGGGGCGGGCCGATCTAGCATGCGAACCGAAGAACCTTAACGAACGAACGCCGCCGCTCGGCCGAACAGCCATTGACCGAGAAACGCTTCCGTTTGCCCGCAGCGACTCAGAACACGCAGTCCCAGCAATCACTGCCGCCGGTCTCCTACGTGAAGGCCATCGACGTGTGGATGTCCTCGTGCAGCGTGTTTGTGTTCCTGTCGCTGATGGAGTTCGCCGTTGTCAACAACTACATGGGCCCGGTCGCCACCAAAGCCATGAAAGGGTACTCGGACGAGGACCTCAGGGAAGCCATCGACGAGTTCAAAGTAAGGATTTCCTTTCCCCGCTTACCTGCGGCTCGACTTCACGCCGTGAAACAGAAAGCGAAATTGGGAGTTAGGGGTGAGGAAAGAGAGATTTCTAAAGGAGCTCGTAAGTGAGTTGGGATAGAAATTATGGGAACATATAGGACATAATGTACAGAGAAAAATATAAGAAGATTAATTTAATCATTAAGTGATTTAAGGTAGAGTATGTACTAAGTAGAATCTCTAAGAGTTTCGAGAAAGAGTCTGAAAGATTTCATGAGTGAGTTGGGACAGAAATTAGGGGAACATATAAGACATAATGTACAGAGAAAAATATAAGAGTAATTTAATAATTAAGTGATTTAAGGTAGAGTCTGTACTAAGTAGAATCTCTAAGAGTTTCGAGAAAGAGTCTGAAAGATTTCATAAGTGAGTTAAAATAGAAATTATGGGAACATATAGGATATAATGAACAGAGAAAAATATAAGAGTAATTTTATAATTAAGCGATTTAAGGTAGGATCTATACGAAGTAGAATCTCTAAAAGTTTCGAGAAGGATTTGAGTTTTTATCAAAATATACTTTATTGAACTAATACTAATTACTTGAAATCTAAAGAAACTGCGCGATCTAAAGATATTTTACATTATTATATTCTGATTGATGTGTAATATTTTACTGAAGTAGAACAATTAAGAGAACATGTTCCGAGGAAACGCTATTGAAACCAACAATCGAATTATCAATTTTCACTGTCTGTATTCGGTGTCTCCTATCAAAAATTCAAAAACGGAACACTCTAATCGACGCATTTTCGCTGGATATCACCCGCGCAGTCGCGGCCCCGTTAACTTCCAGGCAAATACGGCCAGCGCGAGAAGCACGAGGCACGCAACCGTATTTTCCGACAGCGTTGACCGCGGCTAAAAATGCGGGAATGTCTTCGAAAGCCGGGGACCGGTCGGTTTTAGCGTGCGCCGGGCATAATTCATGCGGCGCGGCCGGGGTGAAGCTCGTTTCGCATTCAGCCGGGGAAATTATGCATCTTGAGCTTACAATTAGCGGGGGCAAACGTTTCGAAGCGTCGCGTTCCGCGCACGGCCGCGGCGATAAATAAATAACCGGCGGTTTCCGCTTCCGTGGAAGCAACGCGCGCTGAAAAATTGATGGAGCGACGCTCGGATTCCGACCGGCTGCGAGGGCTGCCGGAAAAATGTGGGAACGTGTAAAAGACAACGCGAGCGACGCGTTTTTTAGCTTCCCGTCGGCCGGAACACCGGGAAACGAATTCTTTCCGGGATATAAGCGGAAAGGAAAGCGCGAGGTAAAACGTGCACCGATCGTGAACTGTTGACTGGCGTGCTAAACATTTTTAAGGTCAAAGGGACTCTTCCACTCGGGATGCTCGTCAATGGCTATAACAGTTACCTGCGGTGTGACACATTGTCGTTATCAAATTACTATAGTTTACTATAATTTAATATAATTTCTAAAATTTAGCAAGATAATCGTGTAAGAATGATAACGCAAATCGATCACTTTGATATTCTATTCTTCTTTATTTTCCTTCTTTCCCATTTTGTGTATGTTAACCCTTTGCACTCGGAAGTATTTCGTTAGCAATACTTAACATTTTCTAACTAGACAAAGACGATGGTCTTTTTAAATGAATTCAAAGAAATCACGGGTAAATTGAGAAACAAAGCTTCTTTATCAATATTAAATATTAAATTTTCTAATTTTACTACGTCAAATCAAATGACTGAGAATCACCTCTCGATTGCAAAGGGTTAAATTCACGGTAAAACACAAATATCTAATATTCATCTTATACACTTAATATCTAGTTTGAATTATGCAATGTAATCGTTAACGTGGAGAGCCAAATGGCGTCGCCTTGCAAAAAGGCAAGGTTTCTGAAAGATCACGATTCCTTTCAATTTTGAAGAGTAAGCCAGTAAAAGTTTGCACCGGGCGAGAAATACATTTGGCACGCCCCTGTTAACTACTATGTTTCCTGGAAAAACTAAGGTGCAGTTTGCGGTTGAGTCTTTTGTCCCTGTACACCTTTCGTTTGTTGTTAGTCGATCAGATTACGATCTGTGGACGGTGCTTAAAGTTTGCCAGGGGAATCGCGCGACGGTGTACGCGTAAATAGGCGACACCCGGTACAGCTGAAGCTCTAATAACACCTGACACAGTTAGGACACCGACATCGCCGGCTTAAACGCGCGACAAGTTTAATTAACACGTCCGAGGCTATGAACTCTTGCGATTTCACCGGCGCGAAGACTTTGAAGATCAAATAACGCGGGCGCTGGCCGAAATTGAAAACTCCGCGGGTGTCGTGGAAACGCACGAGACGTTCGGGGTTTAACGCATTTCGAGGAAATTTTGTTGGTTGACTCGTTGACGGGGGAATTGTTTGATTTTCTGGTGGAACTGGGATTTTTTAGGAATGGAAAGATGTGTTGCTTCAGAATTTATTTGATTGATGGCTTTTAGAAAGGAAGTAACTTAATTGTGATGTTGAATAGTAATATTTAAACATAATAATATTCAGCAATTACGATATTAAATAATATTCAATGGTTCTAATGTTCGATTATTATAATATGCCTGCGATATCGAAATTTTGGTTAACATATTTTAACGTTTAATAGAACTAATAACAAATTAAATCACGAACTGGACGAAGCAAATTAATCTTACCCACTGAATCATAAAAACAAAATTTATATTGCATATTCATAAATAAAACAGCCTTAATCCCATCTTTCCACACAGCTGTGTTACATGAAAAGTTTACAAATCAGATGCTATGAATGTTCCGACCGTCGCTATCCGCTAATAAATGAAATATAAATAGTCGCAACGGCGGTTTTCCTCTTCGCGACAAACATCCCAGCAATCAAGCTCGCGATTAACGCGTTAATATTTAGACGTGAACGTTTGTCGCTCGGAAAGCGGCTCGAACGCGATATGCCCAATTAACGAGCGGAGCGTGCCACGCGTTCGCCTTTGAATTCTTCATGTTCCCGGTCCGTGTAAATTTCCCCGGAAATGCGGGAATATTCGGTGGCGCTCGCAAACAGATCGGTCGCGGTTTGCTCGTATCGCGGCATCCAGATCGCGGATTCCGTTTCAGCTTTCGGGCGACGGTACGCGCCTCCGGTTTCCCGACGAAACGCGCCGAAAAACGAGCACACGCGCCGCTGCAACGCTTGCTCAATGTTTCACGAAGCGACGCGGTAATTCCATTTCTTCGGAATTAAACGTACGTTCGTCGATGCCTTGCGGGAAGCGAGGGAAACGCGCGTTCTTTGACGTTCGACAGGGTTCGCGGAGAATAGTTGAAGTAATTTCAGCCCGCGATTGTTTCGCGGCGGACCGCTCGATTCGATTTATTAACGCGCGGAAATTTTAATTGATGCATTCAAGCCGGAGCGCTTTGGCTTTCGTGCGCGGAAAATGTTGAGATTTTGGACGGACGTAGGATTAATGGTAACTTTGTTGGCGAATTTTGATGTAGTTGAGAAACCGCATTAACTAGACTTTCAGTTCGCTGGAAATATAGAGAAAGTTCGACTATTCTGGTTTTCAACTTCTTTCGAGGACTTTGTTCAATTCAAACATCGAATAATTACGTTCCCTTAAATTCAATTATATGTACAACGACACGCAAATCGTAATTTCTCTCGTCTTAATGAAAAAGCACATAACCACGCGAGGAACACTATAAACTATCTTCCATAACTGCAAATCTTTACGGCGAAGATAAATATAACAACGGAATTTTAAGGAATGCTATAAACAGAAAAGCGAGGTAATATCCTTAAAGAGACAGCGTACGTCCGGGAGAGTGACGCGCTGGCTCTCCCCGACAAAATGGCGGACGCTGGAGATGCCGAAACGCGGGAAGAAATTCTTAAGTCGAAGCGAGAACTTCGCGGAAACTTCGCGCTGGCGGTCGTTAATATTGAAGCCGGGAGTCGATTCGAGGAATGAAGGAATCCTGGGATTTCGACTCGTGCGGCGAAAAAGCGAACTTCGACCTTCGCTCGCTCGCTGGAGAGATCTCGCGTACGAGGAGCCGTAGAACTTCGACGGAAAGTTCGCTTTTTACGGTCACCGACGCGTTTCACGAGGGGACAGCAAGATTGTCTCGCGTGGCTTAAATAAAAAATGAAACTGTGCACCCGGAGGTTTTAATTTAAGGTTAAGTCGAGACACCGTGACGGACTTTCCGAGGAAATTTGGGACACGTTAATAATCTTTTACGAGAGTGTTCCTCTTCCTTCCTCCGGCTACTGCTGAAATTTTCACCTGGCAAATGGACGTAGCTTGCTACATAGTTCAAAAGGATTTCGTCTTTTGATTTATATCGCTGCGGTAATTTTTCTGAAGTTCATTCCACTACAGTTAATAAATTCTTGGTCCGTAGGTATAATTAGATAATTACTTTCATGAAAATTAACCTCTCAAGATGGAGTTTTCAAATGGAATATAATAAATATAAATGTTATTCGAGGTTTTTGAATTTGGATGTTTGAAAGTCGATTGGTGGATTGTCAAATTAATTACTAAATAATTTTTTGTTTATGCTTTCGAGTGAACATAGGTCAGGAATGCAACTTGTTTCTTGTTCTAGTGAATCGTTAGGGATAAAGTGCTTCTATCTAGATGCAGTTACTAAAGAAATCATACAGGTAAAAATCATTTGGATGTATAATTATTGTTACTGGCTCGAAGCTGGAAAGTTACGAGTAATTGATGCCGCTATTCCGTCACGCAACGACGTAACAATAACAGCGGTAATATAAACTAATGCCGCGATATGTAATTGAACGGTATCAGGCTTTCCCCAGCGAAAACACGGCCAACGGTAGGAGCAGGTCCGCGGCGGCCATTAATGTTACAGAGCTCACGACTCTGTTTTACTTGAAACTTTGTTTGTTCTGCTCCCTGTACATTATGCTGCCACGCGTTACGTATTTCACGACCGGCCCCTGGTTTCGGTGTTTACTGAAAAGAGATATGAACAGCGATGTGTGTGTCCGAGCGCTAATACCTAATTAACAGCGTACGCTACGTTGCACGGTAAAATTAGGAAAACAACAATTTGCCACAGCATACGAAGAATCCACGGATAAAACTAACGAAACGTTGGTAAAAACAATTTCAGGACAAACAAATTAATAACATATTTCATTATCACGAAGACAGTTATAATCACTTCGACAAGGTTTCACCTTGATAAGTCACTTTCATTACCTTCCAATTCTTGTCAAATATTACACTAGACACCGTTACCCAATGACAATGTCATAATGAGATTCTATTATTACTGATTAAAAACATATACCAGTAATATACATATATATTTACAAACCTTCGCGATATAATCAGATCAACTCAATCTTTGCATACTCAACCATTCCATTGAACCACCTTCAAACTTTGTAACCAAGAGCATGATTCAGCTCTGATAAATAATTTGTCTCTGTCAACTCTATTAATCTGACGTTTCAGACACCGATGAGGAACGAGTCCGAAAGAAGCAGGAGTCCGGTGAGGCCCGTGGTCGTACAGTACGACACCTGCTGCGAGGGTCGCGCGACGGCGATCTACATCGACAAGGTCTCCAGATTCTTCTTCCCGTTCTCCTTCTTGATCCTGAACGTCGTCTACTGGAGCACCTTCCTGTAGAAGGAGAGAAAGAGAGAGAGAGAGAGAGAGAGACGATCGAGAGGCTCGCGAAATCCTCGACAGCTGTCTCCCGCTTCGTGCCCGTTGATCGTTACCGCCGTCGATCCGCCATTTTGTCGCGCGGCCGGGACCACGAATCACCGAACTCAACGCTCCCGCGTCCTCGCGCGCTCGCGTCGCAACAAACAGTCGAGAAAGATACTTCTAAACAGGATTTCGCATTGCGATTACAGTAAACTCCCGTATAACGCGGTTAACACGTTGACCGCCACGGTGGTTATCGATCACCGGAGCTCCCGAACTAATTCACAACGGTTACGATAAGAAAATTGATGTTGAATGAACGTATCTATGTAACACGAGCAGCTAGACGATAGCGTAATATCAGTACAATAATAACAGATAATTAATAACTATTTCCAATGCCATTTGCTTCTGTTATAGGAGAAAATTACTGTACGAAACGCTTGAAATTCTCGTGACAGTCAACGTGTCGATACGCTACGCGTTGTACGAATTCGTTATAGGCAGTTGCTGTACGAGATTTTCCTCGTGTAACAAATAATAAAAAGTATCACGTTCCAAATGATTATTACCATGCCGACTCTCTGTTTTATGGAAACTAGAATAATCAGGGGACAAGAGAGATCGGTAACAGAAAACGATGCAATGCTCAACTTGACATTTTTCTATATCGCGTTGCACGAGGAATCGCGTTGTATGAGAACAATTATTAAATCTTCGACGCGTTATACGGGTGTCCATTGTATTATCGAAATTAAAGGGACAGAGTCGATTCACAAGGAAACAAGAGAACTACCGATCGAGGAACGATTGAGCGACGGATTTAACCAGCGGAATGGTCCTTTTTTATGAACGAAAGTTTGCTGAGAGAATTCTTGGTGCCTTTTGCATGAGGCTCGCGCATACATATACATATATACATATATACATATACATATAGATTATATATAGACACAGAGAGGCGTGCCACGGGAGCCGGTTAATTAACGATAAGCGTCCTAGCAATTAAGTCGCGTTATGGTTCCTGGAAGGTGTGACGGATCGATTGATCGCGGACCTGCTCATCGGACTCCGCTGATGTTCCCCGGGAAGTCGGGGGATCGATCTGCGACCTGAATCCTGCTGCCCTGCGGGAGGAAAGGGAATCTCCGCCGACGACCGTTTTACCAGGATTGATCGTTACTTTAGCCGTTTCGTCCCGTTACTCACTGTAATCTCCTCCAGTTTTGTTACGATAGAACAACACGCTCGACGGTACTTTCGAACGGCACCGTTCACGCGTTCGGCTTTGGTCTTCTTCGAAAAATTACAGCTCGATCCATTCTCCAAGTAAACAATCGAAAATAATTCAAGACTAAATCTGACTTTCATGATTCTAAATACTCGAGTATTATAGATACGAATTAAGTAATCGCGAGACGATCGTGGCCGATGGATGTTTAATAGATCAATGGGGCAGAAATGAAAGTTGACGAGCCTGGACGCGTGAACTTGGTCGTGCTTACGTCACAGTTGGTTCGTTATATGACAGAAAACTTTTAGGGACAAATAAACGATACATTGATGCGTAATAGAATCGTTATTGCTCAAACGTGAAGACTCTCCGTCGTTTAAAAGGGAACAGTAAGAACAAAATGTAAGGGAAAAGGGTAATGAAAAAGACATCAGACTTTATCGAAGTAGTTTATTCGTTTGAAGTGAAACTTCGTTTTCGTCGGTTCACAGGGATCTTGGCTCCTGGACCCTCTTCCCTTTGACGTCCTTCCTTTCGCCAGTGGATCGATGCTACCTGTTTCGTTCGCAGGCTCTTTGGAAGCTCCGAGTGGTCTCTAAATCTCAAACTTGGAAGACTGAATACTTTAATGATATATTCGATGGATCACAAATTACGAACCTCCGCATGAAAAGAAATATTAATCTAGCAATGAAAAAAACTTCTACCAACTTTCCGATTGGTACTCGAAAAATATGAAGTGATCAACCTCTAAAAAGAAATATTTATCTAGTAATTATACAAATCTCTAGTAGGTCTCAGGAAGAGTTCAAAGGTTCAAAGCATATTAACGTGATACGAATGTACGTTGGGTTAGAAGATTATTGGAAATATTTACTGCTAGCGTTAGAGGATGATTCGTGTTATCTAATGTCAGTCGCGTCCGCGTTAATCTAGAGACTCGGTCAGTCAGCAGTCAGTAAATCTAGAGAAGAGATGATAATCTCGCGTCAAAGCGTGATTTAATGTTTCGGCTGCATTGTAGCCACCTTCGTCGAATAGCTGCGGCGAAGTACCGATTTGCACAGAGATATCGCCATTGTAGACACTGTTAACGCTATGTCACAGTGTACAGACGACATCGATCGCGCGACGAGGCTGCATTGGATCCCGGTGAAAGGCTGACGCTCATTTCCAAAAGGATATCGCCTAACATCTGCAACGCTGAAGCCAAGATCAATCCTACGGATCTGTATTCTAAGGGATCGATCGGTAAACGGTATATACAAGCGGTGACGTTCGCTCTCTAAACAATTCAGGAGATATTAGAAACTCAAGGATTTCGGGCCGGAAATCGAGAAAGCAATTACACGACCCCGGTCTATCTATGGATCAACAATCACGCTGATAACCACCGTTATCTTCTAATCGAGATACCCATGCACCTGTGTAACTATGATTAGCACTGAACTCGAGGAGCTATGGATTATCGAGTGTGCTCGTCGATAGTGGAGTATTTAGCTATTTAATTAAATCTCGTATACGGACGGGATATACGTGAACATTAATTTCTGTATTCTTCATTCATTGCCTAAATTTATTATTGAGCTAATTAACCCTTAGCACTCCAGATGGTTTTGTAATCTATCAGCAACTGCAACTAATTATAACATTTCTTCGATCTTTTATTTTCCTTCTTAGTACAAAATTTGGATGTGTGGAAAATCGAATAATTTTAGTTTCTTTAAGATTCATTGAAATATTTAATATTATAACTGGTGCAGTATCGGAGCCTACAGAGTTCAAAGGGTTAATGTATTATTAATGCTTCGCTAGAGACAAAAGAAAAGAAACTAAAGAATTACTATTAAAGATATGAAAATAATGTCTCATATCAAGCTACAAATAATCACAAGATATTATTTATTGTCTTCTACTTGAAATCATCTCAATCTCTACTTAAATTAACTTTATAAGAGTTGAAAGTTGGGAAAATACCATCCACAAACTTATGTTCATTAAAATGATCTCCGTCTTCTGAAACAATGGGACGTTATTGCAACATTGGAAGGGTTAAGAGTTACGCGCCACCCTTGCACGAATGAATGAATGGAGAAACGTTGAGGCTAGAGTAAAAAATCCTCGTTCCTGGGGCGAGGCGAAGGAACCTGGAGAGAACTGGACAATAAAGAGCCTCAAAGGGTTTTTATTTCCCACCCGCCCCGCAGTCTGAATCGCGGCACTTTTAACCGTCGCGCGGAAGTGTCGCCTGGCTAAACGGCCAGCAGTAATTCATTCGAACGAAAGTTGCCGCGCCGTGGCCAACAGTTGCCTGGAGAATAATTAAATCCACGCGTAAGGTAGCGTAATTGCTATGCGATAAATAGGTGTCGAAGAATATAATCTTGAAAAGACGCCATGTTTTTCTCCTAGGTCGTTTCACTGGAGCAACGCGTCGTCGACGCTTCGACCCCAGCCAACCCCCATCGACTCATTAATAATCCCTTCTAGAGGGTTTTTAACGAGATGATTGATTGGGACTCGTTAAATTCAGGAGGGTTGAAAAATGAGGACTGAGAATCACGCGAGAGTCCACTGCGCTACGTTTCGTTAAGAGATTGTACTTCAAATATTATTTAATTGGATTAATAGTATTGAAATATTATTAGCGCGTTTGTATAAATTCAGAATTTTCAACGCTTCAAATGACACTTGAATTCGTGCTATGGGAACTTCATCCCTTAAGAATGACAAGCGTTTTATAATTTCTGATGGATTGTTCGTTAATATTTTCAATGAATTCACATTCTTTAGTTTCCAAACGAGAGTTTTTTTTAGATATTCAAGTGGAAGTTATTGCCTTTTTGACGAGTGTTAATTTAGAAACGATAAGAGTTAGACGAGAGTCTGCAAATCATCGTGAACAATCGCGGATTAAGACCTTCAGTTACTTAAGGTAGTATTACGCGCCTTAATATTCTGATTAACGACTTCCGTTCGATTTCAGCGTCCTAGTAAAAAGCGAATTAGCGGGCACATTGTAGACGAGAATAAGGATTACGCGGTTCGGTCTCGGTAGTGAGTAAAAGAGTGTACGAGCCAAAGGAATTAAAAGCTTCTGCCGTAGCTTTGAGCGCCCCTGCGCAGTCCCGTTCTCGTTAAACTTTAGCCATTTTGCGCCACGATTACTACCACCTCGCTTTTCCCCCTGTTGCGAAGTATTTCCGTAGCATCCACGATACGATCTTCCACAAACACCGTTTCCATCGGGAAAGATGATAATTTTCCACCAGTTATTGCGGTTTAGGGCTGAATGCCGAGCCACCAAGTAACCAGCCGATTAGCCTATACTTCCGTTAGGAAAGAACTAGGGCGAAACAACTACCGAGGGCGGGCGAACAGAAAAGAATTGCATCGTTGCTTTAGAATCAATTCATTCGACTCAGGTACAGAAGTTTCTTTGTTCTTTTGTTCGCGGGGAATCCTTTTCTAGAGTGTTTCTTATCCGGAACGTTTGAACCCGTTGGAAACTTGATACTTTACCTATCAACGGTCATTTGATAGTTCCGTCGAGATTAATGTTTCTCTGATAGTTCTCAATAGCTTTCTTATAAAATTATTATTTAGACTTCTATGGCTTGAATTATATTCTAATTTTCTACTCTTACTTTATTTTAGACTGGTACTTTAAAACTTAAAGTAGGAAACGATATTGACGTGTATCTAGCGTGTGGCATCTCGTTTCACCGAAAGTACCATGTCAAAATTACCTTCAATAACATTTTCTAAAAATTCCCAATCTTCAAAATATTACCAATATGTATCCGTCTCCAAAATATTACCACTATTATTTTCCAAAACAACGTCAATATATACTACCACTTTCCAAAATATTACCACTATTATTTTCGAAAACAACATCAATACATACTACCACTTTCCAAAATATTACCACTATTACTTTCCAAAACAACATCAATATATACTACCACTTTCCAAAACATTACAAATAAATATTCCCACTTTCCAAGCCATCACCAACACTACCACTTCCCAAACTATCGCCTAAAAACCGCCCCGCAAAATTACCTCTTTGCACTCGAAAGCTTTTAGAAATATTCAACATTTTCCGTCAAAATGTAGTCAAAATAGTTTGAAACTAATTTTAACAATAACTCACAGATTAAGCAATAAAGTTATTTTATACTCTCAGTCACCACTTTATTTCACACAGGAAAACTATGAACTTAAATATTCAGTATTTTAAATTAAACTTTGTATTGCTATGTGAAACATTTAGAGTCACTCGAGTGCAAAAGGTTAACTTCCTCCTGAACAAGCTTCCTCCCCCCTTACTCAAGATCACTCCGCCGAAGTCTCTCGATTCCTAAACTAATCCACCTGCCCCGTCAGCCTCAGCGCCGTTTCACGCCGCCACGTAACCTATTCCCGGTGCCTAGCTTTTATTTAGAGGGAAAAACCCTGAGGGGATGGGGGCGTGCGACGGGCCGGAA